TGCAGCACTCTAAAGTTAGCAAAGAATGGTTATTTTGATATCCAGCACTCCAAAGTTAGTAAAAAGAATAGTTGTTTTCATGCCCAGCACTTCAAAGTTAGCAAAGAATAGCTTTTTTTTCATATCCTGCATTCCAAAGTCAGTAAAGAAAAGTTTGCTTCCATGTCCAGCACTCTAAGGTTAGCAAAGAATAGTTGTTTTAATATCCAGCACTCCAAAGTTAGCAAATAATAGTTGTTTTCCTGTCCAGCCCTCCAAAGGTTTGTTGTTTTAATGTCCAGCACTCCAAGGTTAGCAAAGAATGGTTGTTTTCATATTCAGCACTCCAGATTTAGTAAGGACTATTTTTTTTAAATGTCCAGCACTCAAAGGGAGCAAAGAAAAGTTGTTTTCATATCCAGCACTCCAAAGTTAGAAAAGAAAGGTTTGTTTTCATTTCAAGCACTCCAAGGTTAGCGAAGAATGGCTGTTTTCATATCCATCACTCAAAAGTTAGCAAAGAATGGTTGTTTTCATGTCCAGCACTCCAAAGAATAGCAAAGAAAAGTTGTTTTCAGGTCCAGCACTCTAAAGTTAGCAAAAATATGGCTGTTTTCATATTCAACACTCAAAAGTTAGAAAAAAAATAGTTATTTTTATATCCAGCACTCCAAAGTTATTAAAGAATAGTTGTTTTCATGTCCAGCACTCCAAAGTTAGTAAAGAATAGTTTTTTCATGTCCCGCATTCCAAAGTCAGCAATGGTTTGTTTCCTTGTCCAGCACTTCAAAGTCAGCAAAGAATATTTGTTTTAATATCCATCACTCCAAAGAATGTTTTCTTCTCATGTCCAGAACTCAATAGTTAGCAAAAAATAGTTGTTTTCATGTCTAGCACTCCAAAGAATTGATGTTTAATGTCCAGCACTCCAAGATTAGCAAAGAATGGTTCGTTTCATATCCAGCATTCCAGATTTAGTAGGGAATAGTTGTTTTAAAGCCCAGCGCTCCAAATTTAGTAAGGAATAGTTGTTTTCATATCCAGTACTCCAGATTTAGTAAGGAATAGTTGTTTTCATATCCTGCACTCCAGATTTAGTAAGGAATAGTTGTTTTCATATCCAGCACTCCAGATTTAGTAAGGAATAGTTGTTTTAATGTCCTGCACTCGAAATATAGCAAAGAATGGTTGTTTCTATGTCGTGTACTCGAAAGTTAGCAAAGAAGGGTTGTTTTCATGTCCAGCACTTCAAGGTTAGCAACGAATGGTTGTTTTCATGCCCTGCACTCTAAAGTTAGCAACGAATGGTTGTTTTCATGTCCTGCACTCTAAAGTTAGCAACGAATGGTTGTTTTCATGTCCTACACTCGAAAATTAGCAAAGAATGGTTGTTTGCATATCAGTGCTAGGATCATGTAGTCCAGTGTAAGTGCTCATCTAAAATGCCACATCAGAGGTAATCTGTTATATTGTAGAAGTGGTCATCTAATTAATCACGTCAGTTAAATGTCATTTGACTCGCCTCGCTAAACAATGCTCATACTGTACACCTATTTTCCAAAGGGATCCCAGGACACACGATGTCCTAACAGTTTTTTTTGTACACCACGTCAAATCAAAAAGGTGGTTACATTATGTACCACGTCACAAAAGCTGTCACATTATCCACCACGTGACAGAAGTGGTTACATTGTGCGCCACGTCGCAAAAGCCGTCCCATCGTACAACACGTCACAGAAGCCAACCCAATGTATGCCACGTCACAAAAGTGGTCCAGCGTATGCCATGTCACAGAAGTGGTCATACTGTAGACCAAGCAACAGAGGGTCTCTTACAGTATAACACGTCACAGAAGTATTCACATTGTACACCACGTCACAGAAGTATTCACATTGTACACTACGTCACAGAAGTATTCACATTGTACACTACGTCACAGAAGTATTCACATTGTACACCACGTCACAGAAGTTGTCATACTGTAAGCCACGCCCCAGAATGGCTCCTACTGTACACTACGTCACAGGAGTGGTGATCTAGTCGCTTCCATTCTGTAAAAAAAGGTTGCAATCGGCCCTAGAGTACATCTCGTGACAGAAGTGCTCACCCAGGAGTGGTCATAATGTGTAGTGCACTATCTATCTGCACCAGTAGTAACCCACAGCAGAAACATGGTCCTGTTGTCGACATGCCAAATAAATGTTTAAAATACATGCCACGTCACACAGGTAGTTATCAAGTACGCCAAGACACAGAGAATTGAACCTTCTCCTCCACCTCACTGATGTAATCTCCCACGCCATCTTGGAGAAGGTGTAGTCTCCCACGCCACCTCACTCATGTTTTCTCCAATGCAATCTTGGAGAAGGTGTAGTCTCCCACGCCACCTCACTCATGTTTTCTCCAATGCAATTTTGGAGAAGGTGTAGTCTCCCACGCCACCTCACTCATGTTTTCTCCAATGCAATCTTGGAGAAGGTGTAGTCTCCCACGCCACCTCACTCATGTTTTCTCCAATGCAATCTTGGAGAAGGTGTAATCTCATAGGCCACCTCACTCCTGTAATCTCCCATGCCATCTTGGAGAAGGTGCAGTCTCCCACGCCATCTCACAGAAGTGACAATCTCTCCATCTCACTGATTTATTCTCCTATGCCATCTTGGAGAAGTTGTAGTCTCCCACGTCACCTCACTCATTTAATCTCCCATGCCATCTAGGAGAAGTTGTAGTCTCCCACGTCACCTCACTCATTTAATCTCCCATGCCATCTAGGAGAAGTTGTAGTCTCCCACGCACCTTACAGAAATGACTAGGCAAAAGCTACAAACATTAGCTTTACACAACTCACCACTTGGGCTCTTCACTGACAAGCTACCTATTGTTAATGTAGTTGAACTCAAAACATTAGGTGTTTTAAATGACAGCCATTTAACTTAGAGTTTCAATGTTTATGCCATGACCAAAAAAGTAGCACAAGAACTTTATCAACTTGGAAAAATTCAGCACTTTCTGGACGAAAATACACGTAAAATATTTTAGGTATCCTGCATCCAAAACCACGCTGACTTTTGTTTCACAATTTCGGATGGTTGCTCTAAAACTAATGTCAAACGGCTGAGTTCTCTACAAAATAGGACTTTAACGCTTTGTCTCCGATAGAAACTACGTCGAGAAAAATCTCTTAGCGAAGACTTCTGAGTTGAGTTGAGTCAAGATTTAACATCACAACACTCGGGGCATTCTAATGTGTGCTCCGTCCTCATCTTCAGCAGCCAGCGCAAAGTTTCATTACTGATGGTACCAGTCACAATCTGGTTATATGTCCGTCTTGTCTTTCCTCTGAGTGTAGCGAGCTAGCAAGACCCTCTGGTTACACCCAGATGCCTCATTTTCTCTAGGCCATAATAGCCTTGTTTCTCTACTAATTTACGAAAACTTCTGCCATTTAGTAAACTTTTATTTTTTATTGTATTTTTTTTAACAAGGCCAGATTCATTCACCTAATCCTATCTCAAAATACTCCAAATTACATTTTCGGCCTGATTAAGTCTAATCCTACGAACAGCAAGCGACTCATTTTATTACAATTGACTAAGCCGAGAAATTATTTATTTAAAACAAGTTTAGCGCACTCTACTGCTCATTTATGCAACCATATTCCAATTAATGTGAAAACTACAAAGAGTCCCTACTTATTTAACAGCAAACTCTTTCATTTCATGAGAAAGATAGCCATAGCGTCAGAGAAAAACATAGAGAAAGAAAGAGGCAGAGACAGTGTCAAAAATAGACAGAGTAAAAGAGAGAGCAGAGAGACAGATAGACAGAGACAGATTGTCAGATAGAGTGTCTGAGACAGAAAGAGACACATAGAGGGATAGAGAGATTTCGAGATAGACAGACAGAGACAGACAGACAGACAGACAGACAGACAGACAGACAGACAGACAGACAGACAGACAGACAGACAGACAGACAGACAGACAGACAGACAGACAGACAGACAGACAGACAGACAGACAGACAGACAGACAGACAGACAGACAGACAGACAGAGACAGACAGGGAGAGATATAGAGAGAAAGAGAGAAAATATATAGATAGTGTCAGAGAGAGGTAGATACAGATAATGAGAGATAGAGAGTCAGAGAGATCTTAGAGAAACAGAGAAAGACAGCGAGAGACAGACAGCGAGAGATAGACAGCGAGAGACAGAGACAGACAGCGAGAGATAGACAACGAGAGACAGAGAGAGACAACGAGAGAGAGACAGCGAGAGATAGACGAGAGACAGAGAGAGACAACGAGGTAGAAAAGAGAAAGAAAGAGAGAGAGACTGAGATTGAAAGAAAACTGGGCATAAGAACATTTATTTTTAGTGATTATCAGGGGTTGAGAGGCTTGGTACAAGGTCAGAGCAGGTGTGTATACGGTCGTCTGAGCTGTTCTGAAATTTGCTCTCACTCCCATGTCGCTAGCTAGGTTTCCTCTCATTCCCTGGTTTTTGCTTTCACCAATCGGCATGATGACATCATTATCTGCATTACCAAACCGGGCCAAGGCATACAACTTTTCTGTGACTTCTCAGACATTCTTGATCACAAAGTTCTTGTCTTTTATTACACCCAATCTAAGGGATTCTGAGTTCTTGGGGAATTCTAAAATTATACGGGTAGGGGGAAGGGAGGTTAGTGTGAGTCGGTGTTTATTTCACACCCTTACACCCCTATACTTTTGGACTTTCCCGGAAACTTACCAAGAAAGGGACAAAAGGAAGAAAGAAAAAACAACTATCACACCATGTGCACATAAAACAAGCTATCTCACGACGTTTTCAAGTTTCAATGAATAACAAGCAGCGACATAGTTATTTTACCACAATCTAGTTCTAACAGAACATTCACAGTTTATTTACGTATAGAAATATCAGCATCCAAACTATCTATACTATCACTGTAATTGTGTGGTAGCGCTATACTGCAGTTTCCAGACCTTTCCCTGGTGCCGACCAACTCATGCAGTTCACTTATCACTGTATTGTTTTGTAATATCAACACAATGTCGTATACGTTACGTGTCGATTACCTCATTAAAGATAGAGTAAAGTACCACCACCTCACAGATGTTATTATAAACTACAAACACATTACAGAAGACAGAGTAAAGTACCACCATCTCACAGATTCTAGTGTAAATTACCACCAAGTCACAGAATCTAGTCTAAAGTACCACCATCTCTAGAAGTTAGTGTAAGGTACAAGTATCACAGACGATAAAGAGCCACCACCACGCAGAAGAAAGAGTAAAGTACCACAGCATCACAGCAGTTAGTGAAAATAACCAACTCATCACAGAAGATAAGAGCAAAGTACCACCAACTATCAGATGCTAGAGTAAAATACCAAGTCACAGTTGATTGTGTAAAATACTAACAAGTCACAGTTGATTGTGTAAAATACTAACAAGTCACAGTTGATTGTGTAAAATACTAACAAGTCACAGTTGATTGTGTAAAATACTAACAGGTCACAGTTGATTGTGTAAAATACTAACAAGTCATAGTTGATTGTGTAAAATACTAACAAGTCACATTTGATTGTGTAAAATACTAACAAGTCATAGTTGATTGTGTAAAATACTAACAAGTCACAGTTGATTGTGTAAAATACTAACAAGTCATAGTTGATTGTATAAAATACTAACAAGATACAGATGTAAGTGTAGAGTACCACCACGTGACAAAAGTAAGTGTAAAGTTCCAGCACTTCACAAAAGTTAGTGTAAAGTTCCAGCACTTCACAAAAGTTAGTGTAAAGTTCCAGCACTTCACAAAAGTTAGTGTAAAGTTCCAGCACTTCACAAAAGTTAGTGTAAAGTTCCAGCACTTCACAAAAGTTAGTGTAAAGTTTCACTACTAAAAAAAAGCAGTGTAAAAATACTAAGAGGTCAGGAACTAAAAATAACCACAAAGTCACAGAAGATAAAGTATTACCACGTCACAAAAGTGTGTGTAAATACCACCACGTCACAGAAGTTTAAGTGCTACATCGCACTCTCTAATACATAACAAGCCTCTCTAATGTGACCTGCAAGAATTCGAAATCAATTTGAAGTTACCCGGCAATGTCGAGTGATTAAAGTTGATGTAACTCTGTTGTACCGCACATGACGAGATACAGCAAAATATGCATAACAATAAATTGTGAAATTATTGTTGTGTTCGCATTCGTTGCGGGAAAACATCGTTTTCAACAAAATAGAATCCATGATGACACCTGTATGTCGATACTTGCAGTATAAAATCTAAAGATTGCAACTAAACGTTTGTCGAAGTTTAAGAGAACTACAACTACTTGAGGAAACCATTCCCTGTGTCAATCCAGCGATAGCCACGTCGCATTAGTTAAAGAACAATACCATAAACAAATGGATGTTGTAGAAAGGTAGTACGTGTTGTTTGGTAGATAATAAATGATGATGTTCTACAAGACATAGAAAAGAAATGTACGTATGTTGTCCCCTCTCCACATCCCGCAAGAAACATTCAGAAATGCTAAGTCCTTAACTCCTCGACTAGAAGCAAACTGAACTATCCAACAAAGATGTTGTTGCTGGCTGCTTTGCTCTGCTGAGTGATTCCGGCCCGTGATGCTCAGGGTATATCATTTATTGTATGTGAATCTCAAGATTCAGCAATATTAAAACACTATGGTTACACAACAGATATGTGATTTCTGGGACAATTGTTACGAATACCTTGGAGAGCCACAATAAATAACAACGATTGCTTAAAAGAAGCTAATGAAAGTAGATCTCTATATACAACAATTAGAGACAAACACTGCTCTTTGGCCACGTGATGAGAAAAGAGACATTAAAGAACATCGTGACAACTAGAAAGATCAGTTGGAAAAAGGATAGAGGCAGGCCAGAAGAGATGATGTTGGGTGGGCTGAAAAGATGCTAGGATGGATATCATAAAGAGAGATAATCCAGGCAACCAGGGATCTGTGGAGAAACATAAGCTCCTACGCCAGTTGCCAGGGTAACGATGAAGGTTTATCCCCAGCATCGTAATCAAGGTCACAGTTTTAAGGACACGCATCTTCCCTGTAGCAACACCGGGATGTAAGACGAAAACTATCTTGTGAAAATTACGCAAACAGAGTTAGCCCTACCCATTTACACACCAGGTCACTTTTCATTCACAGTTTGCTAGGCTGATCGACTTGCTAAACGTGACGGGTGTGTCCCGCTCTGTGGTTTACTTTCTGTGTTGTCTTCCATCAACGTTTTCATTCTGAGAAAGAGAATGCCTGTGACATAGGTCGCAGCAGTCTCGTAGGGGAAATGTTTCAGAGCCATTGCTTCATGTTTTTGGAGCGGTGAAAGCGCCAGGGTGCTGAAAAATATTGTAACCGTTAGGTGCAACAAAATGCTGATTATTACGGCTAAACATCGGTTCTCATGTTTGTTCCTGTTAGATTCATTTCCAGAAAGTGGCTCTATCAGTAACAGGTTGTCAGTCGTTCATGCTACAATCTTTAGGGGAAAAAAGTTTTAAAACGGATATCACAATTTGAGAGCAGTTTTTTAAGCTTTGAAGCAGAACTCTTTTGGGCTGAAGGTTTTAAATGGACAAACGAACGACTGGCTGCTCTAGGTTCTAAAATATACATTGTAGTAATAGAAATTCCCCGAGGCTTCCAAACTGCATGTGCAGTAACATGTCAGATGGAGACTGAATGTGTTTAGAGCGTCTGAAGTCGCTTCTGTTTGGCAGGTAAAACGTTGCATTATTTAACTGAAGAAAAGAAGAAATGCTGGATTTCTACGAAACTAAAAATATGAAAAATGAACATGTGGATACTGTTATTTGTTTTCATTATTTGTTATTTTGTTTGGGAGGGGGCGAGAGAGAAAGAAATGTTTTTTTACTATCATAATAAAACGCGGGTGTAGAGATCTAAAGAGAAACTGCGTACATAGAAAATGTTGAGTGAGAGTAGACCAGAAAACAGTCCAAGAAGACGGAGAAGAGGGAAGTCCAAGCAGACCTGCAAACATTTGGATGATGAAGATGATGAAGATGATGAAGATGATCAAGATGATGACGATGATGAAGATGATGACGATTATAAAGATGATGACGATGATGACTATGATGAAGATGCTGATGATGGTGAAGATGATGACGATGATGAAGATGATGAAGATGATGTCGATGATGAAGATGATGACGATGATTAGGATGGTGATGATGAAGATGATGACGATGATGAAGATGATGACAAATATGACTATGATGATGATGATGAAGATGATGGCGATGATGAAGATGATAAAGATGAAGATGAAGATGATGACGATGATGAAGATGATGACGATGACAAAGATGATGATGATGATGAAGATGATAATGATGATGACAATGATGAAGATGATGATGATGATGATGATGATGATGAGGATTACTATGATGAAGATGATGACGATGATGAAGATGATGACGATGGTGAAGATGATGAAGATTATGAAGATAATGAAGATGATGATGATGATGACTATGATAACGATGATGACTATGATGAAGATGATGACGATGATGAAGATGACGAAGATGATGACGATGATGATGAAGATGATGACGATGATAAAGATGATGACGATGATGAAGATGATGAAGATGATAAGGATGCTGACGATGATGAAGATGATGACGATGATAAAGATGATAACGACGATGAAGATGATGACGGTGATGAAGATGATAAAGATGATGATGATAATGATATAAAGAGCCCCAGGATCTGAGCTTTGTCGCTGATCGGGACAGTATTTGCAACTGGTAATCCCAACACGACAGCAAGAGACTTTTCAGTGCTACATAGAGACGAAGAATGCTAAGCCATAAAATATATCACAAACGAAACAGTCACAAATATAACTAATTTATTTTATGGAAGGCTAGATGATCAATTGTACTTTGTTTTCAATTCACAAACGAAATTGCGGACATTCGGCGAAAGTCTAATACTCTAGGATGTTAAAAATGTTGATTGTTATAGATAATGCTGACGTGGCTTCGTCAACAGTCAAACTGTGTTGTGGGTTAGTGTGAATGGAGATGTTTCTTAAAGGAAGATAGGGTGTGGGAGGAAGATAGGGTGTGGGAGAAAGATAGGGTGTGGGAGGAAGATAGGGTGTGGGAGGAAGATAGGGTGTGGGAGGAAGATAGGGTGTGGGAGGAAGATAGGGTGTGGGAGGAAGATAGGGTGTGGGAGGAAGATAGGGTGTGGGAGGAAGATAGGGTGTGGGAGGAAGATAGGGTGTGGGAGGAAGATAGGGTGTGGGAGGAAGTTAGGGTGTGGGAGGAAGATAGGGTTTGTCAGAGGAAGATTATTGTTGTGAGACAGAAATAGTTTGTGACAAGAAGATGCAGTTTGTAAAGGGAAAGTTAGGCAATTATGGGAATGATAACGTTTGTGAAAAGAAAAGAAAAGAAAGGGTTTTGGGGAAAAAGAAAAATTTTAAGGGAAGAAATACCACAGAAACAGAAGCAGCAACAACATAACAACAGCATTAGAGAAAGTCAACAACAAAAACAATAACAACAGCAGAAGCCACAACAACAAAAATAACAAAAGCTAGAACAACAATATCAACAATAGCAACAACATAAACAACAACAACAGCTGCAACGTCAACATTACTAACAATAACAACATCAAAGACATACAGTATTCTGCTTGCTGCCCGTTGTTTATGGCGGTGATTGAAATTGTGCCCATATAAGTAAATAAAAAATAAAGTAAAGGACCCCTTTCAACGTCTTTAGGCGTATAGGGCATATATGGCTAGACCTATACTTTATAGACCAATTGGCACAAGATGGGTCATGTGGTCAGCATCACGCCGGCCGCCTTCACTTTCCCGGGACTGCACCCGGTACCCACTCAAGGCTGGGTCGACCTGGAATCCAAGGTCATTTTTGAAAAAAAGTCCAGCTCCTTATAACGTCAGTAAAATGCCAAACTATCAGTTTCAGTTGACATCTTTTCCTCTAAGTGTGTCATCAAGATGTGAGCTATCAGTATCTATAGACATCTGTTCCTCTAAGTGTGTCATCAAGATGTCAGCTATCAGTATCAGTAGACATCTGTTCCTCTAAGTGTGTCATCAAGATGTGAGCTGTCAGTATCACTAGACATCTGTTCCTCTAAGTGTGTCATCAAGATGTCAAGCTATCAGTATCAGTAGACATCTGTTCCTCTAAGTGTGCCATCAAGATGTCAAGCTATCAGTATGAGTAGACATCTGTTCCTCTAAGTCTATGTCAGCTATCAGTATCAGTAGTTCCTCTAACATCAAGATGTTCCTCTAAGTGTGTCATCAAGATGTGAGCTATCAGTATCAGTAGACATCTGTTCCTCTAAGTGTGTCATCAAGATGTGAGCTATCATCTGTTCCTCTAAGTGTGTCATCAAGATGTGAGCTATCAGTATCAGTAGACATCTGTTCCTCTAAGTGTGTCATCAAGATGTGAGCTATCAGTATCAGTAGACATCTGTTCCTCTAAGTGTGTCATCAAGATGTGAGCTATCAGTATCAGTAGACATCTGTTCCTCTAAGTGTGTCATCAAGATGTGAGCTATCAGTATCAGTAGACATCTGTTCCTCTAAGTGTGTCATCAAGATGTGAGCTATCAGTATCAGTATCAGTGTATCAGTAGAGTAGACATCTGTTCTCTAAGTGTGTCATCAAGATGTGAGCATCTGTAGACATCTGTTCCTCTAAGTGTGTCATCAAGATGTGAGCTATCAGTATCAGTAGACATCTGTTCCTCTAAGTGTGTCATCAAGATGTGATGTGTATCAGCTATCAGTATCAGTGTGTCAGTGAGCTATCAGTATCAGTAGACATCTGTTCCTCTAAGTGTGTCATCAAGATGTGAGCTATCAGTATCATAGACATCTGTTCCTCTAAGTGTGTCATCAAGATGTGAGCTATCAGTATCAGTAGACATCTGTTCCTCTAAGTGTGTCATCAGTAGATGTGAGCTATCAGTATCAGTAGACATCTGTTCCTCTAAGTGTGTCATCAAGATGTGAGCTATCAGTATCAGTAGACATCTGTTCCTCTAAGTGTGTCAAGATGTGAGCTAAGATCAGTAGACATCTGCTATCAGTATCAGTAGACATCTGTTCCTCTAAGTGTGTCATCAAGATGTGAGCTATCAGTATCTGTTCCTCTAAGTGTGTCGTTATCAGATGTCAGCTCATCAGCTATCAGTATCAGTAGACATCTGTTCCTCTAGTGTGTGTGTCATCAAGATGTGAGCTATCAGTATCAGTAGACATCTGTTCCTCTATGTGTGTCATCAAGATGTGAGCTATCAGTATCAGTAGACATCTGTTCCTCTAAGTGTGTCATCAAGATGTGAGCTATCAGTATCAGTAGACATCTGTTCCTGTCATCTAAGTGTGTCCTCTAAGTGTGTCATCAAGATGTGAGCTATCAGTATCAGTAGACATCTGTTCCTCTAAGTGTGTCATCAAGATGTGAGCTATCAGTATCAGTAGACATCTGTTCCTCTAAGTGTGTCATCAAGATGTGAGCTATCAGTATCAGTAGACATCTGTTCCTCTAAGTGTGTCATCAAGATGTGAGCTATCTATCAGTATCTGTTCTCTAAGTGTGTCAAGAGACATCAGTATGTTCCTCCTAAGTGTCAGTCAGTAGACATCTGAGTGTGTCATCAAGATGTGAGCTATCAGTATCAGTAGACATCTGTTCCTCTAAGTGTGTCATCAAGATGTGAGCTATCAGTATCAGTAGACATCTGTTCCTCTAAGTGTGTCATCAAGATGTGAGCTATCAGTATCAGTAGACATCTGTTCCTCTAAGTGTGTCATCAAGATGTGAGCTATCAGTATCAGTAGACATCTGTTCCTCTAAGTGTGTCATCAAGATGTGAGCTATCAGTATCAGTAGACATCTGTTCCTCTAAGTGTGTCATCAAGATGTGAGCTATCAGTATCAGTAGACATCTGTTCCTCTAAGTGTGTCATCAAGATGTGAGCTATCAGTATCAGTAGACATCTGTTCCTCTAAGTGTGTCATCAAGATGTGAGCTATCAGTATCAGTAGACATCTGTTCCTCTAAGTGTGTCGTTAAGATGTCAGCTATCAGTATCAGTAGACATCTGTTCCTCTAAGTGTGTCATCAAGATGTGAGCTATCAGTATCAGTAGACATCTGTTCCTCTAAGTGTGTCATCAAGATGTGAGCTATCAGTATCAGTAGACATCTGTTCCTCTAAGTGTGTCATCAAGATGTGAGCTATCAGTATCAGTAGACATCTGTTCCTCTAAGTGTGTCATCAAGATGTGAGCTATCAGTATCAGTAGACATCTGTTCCTCTAAGTGTGTCATCAAGATGTGAGCTATCAGTAGTATCTGTCCTCTAAGTAGTTAACATGTCAGCTTCCTCTAAGTAAGTGTGTCATCAAGATGTGAGCTATCAGTATCATAGACATCTGTTCCTCTAAGTGTGTCAAGATGTCTATCAGTATCAGTAGACATCGTTCCTCTAATCGTTAAGATGTCAGCTATCAGTACATCTGTTCCTCTAATCAAGATGTGAGCTATCAGTTAGACATCTGTTCCTCTAAGTGTGTCATCAAAGATGTATCAGTAGACATCTGTTCCTCTAAGCTATCAAGAGAGCTATATCAGTAGACATCTGTTCCTCTAAGTGTGTCATCAAGATGTGAGCTATCAGTATCAGTAGACATCTGTTCCTCTAAGTGTGTCATCAAGATGTGAGCTATCAGACATCTGTTCCTCTAAGTGTGTCAGCTATCAGTACATAGACATCTGTTCCTCTAAGTGTGTCATCAAGATGTGAGCTATCAGTATCAGTAGACATCTGTTCCTCTAAGTGTGTCATCAAGATGTGAGCTATCAGTATCAGTAGACATCTGTTCCTCTAAGTGTGTGTCATCAGCTAGATGTCAGCTATCAGTATCATCAAGATGTAGACTACATCTGTTCCTCTCAAGATGTGAGCTATCAGTATCAGTAGACATCTGTTCCTCTAAGTGTGTCATCAAGATGTGAGCTATCAGTATCAGTAGACATCTGTTCCTCTAAGTGTGTCATCAAGATGTGAGCTATCAGTATCAGTAGACATCTGTTCCTCTAAGTGTGTCATCAAGATGTGAGCTATCAGTATCAGTAGACATCTGTTCCTCTAAGTGTGTCATCAAGATGTGAGCTATCAGTATCAGTAGACATCTGTTCCTCTAAGTGTGTCATCAAGATGTGAGCTATCTATCATCATCTGTTCCTCTAAGTGTGTCAAGATGTGACATCAGTGTTCCTCTAAGTGTGTCATCAAGATGTGAGCTATCAGTATCAGTAGACATCTGTTCCTCTAAGTGTGTCATCAAGATGTGAGCTATCAGTATCAGTAGACATCTGTTCCTCTCCTCTAAGATGTGTGTATCAGTAGACATCTGTTCCTCTAAGTGTGTCATCAAGAGATGTGTATCAGTAGACATCTGTTCCTCTAAGTGTGTCATCAAGATGTGAGCTATCAGTATCAGAGACATCTGTTCCTCTAAGTGTGTCATCAAGATGTGAGCTATCAGTATCAGTAGACATCTGTTCCTCTAAGTGTGTCATCAAGATTCCTCTAAGTGTGTCCTCAAGATGTGAGCTATCACATCCTCTAAGTGTAGACATCTGAGCTTCCTCTAAGTGTGTCATCAAGATGTGAGCTATCAGTATCAGTAGACATCTGTTCCTCTAAGTGTGTCATCAAGATGTGAGCTATCAGTATCAAGACATCTGTTCCTCTAAGTGTCATCAAGATGTAGCTATCAGTACATAGACTCTGTTCCTCTAAGTGTGTCATCAAGATGTGAGCTATCAGTATCAGTAGACATCTGTTCCTCTAAGTGTGTCATCAAGATGTGAGCTATCAGTATCAGTAGACATCTGTTCCTCTAAGTGTGTCATCAAGATGTGAGCTATCAGTATCAGTAGACATCTGTTCCTCTAAGTGTGTCATCAAGATGTGAGTGAGCTCCTCTAAGTGTGTCATCAGTGTGAGCTATCAGACAGTAGACATCTGTTCCTCTAAGTGTGTCATCAAGATGTGAGCTATCAGTATCAGTAGACATCTGTTCCTCTAAGTGTGTCATCAAGATGTGAGCTATCAGTATCAGTAGACATCTGTTCCTCTAAGTGTGTCATCAAGATGTGAGCTATCAGTATCAGTAGACATCTGTTCCTCTAAGTGTGTCATCAAGATGTGAGCTATCAGTATCAGTAGACATCTGTTCCTCTAAGTGTGTCATCAAGATGTGAGCTATCAGTATCAGTAGTGTGACAAGATCAGTATCAGTAGACATCTGTTCCTCTCAAGATGTGAGCTATCAGTATGTGTCATCAAGATGTGAGCTATCAGTATCAAGATGTGAGCTATCAGTATCAGTAGACATCTGTTCCTCTAAGTGTGTCATCAAGATGTGAGCTCTAAGTGTGTATCAGTGAGCTATCAGTATCAGTACATCTGTTCCTCTAAGTGTGTCATCAAGATGTGAGCTATCAGTATCAGTAGACATCTGTTCCTCTAAGTGTGTCATCAAGATGTGAGCTCAGTATCAGTATCAGTGTGTCATCAAGATGTGAGACATCAGTAGACATCTGTTCCTCTAAGTGTGTCATCAAGATGTGAGCTATCAGTATCAGTAGACATCTGTTCCTCTAAGTGTGTCATCAAGATGTGAGCTATCAGTATCAGACATCTGTTCCTCTAAGTGTGTCATCAAGATGTGAGCTATCAGTATCAGTAGACATCTGTTCCTCTAAGTGTGTCATCAAGATGTGAGCTATCCTCAGTAGACATGTGTCATCTAAGTGTGTCAAGATGTGAGCTATCAGTATCAGTAGACATCTGTTCCTCTAAGTGTGTCATCAAGATGTGAGCTATCAGTGAGCTTTCAGCATCAGTAGACATCTGTTCCTCTAAGTGTGTCATCAAGATGTGAGCTATCAGTATCAGTAGACATCTGTTCCTCTAAGTGTGTCTCAAGATGTGAGCTATCAGTATCAGTAGACAGTTCCTCTAAGTGTGTCGTTGTCAGCTATCAGTATCAGTAGACATCTGTTTCTAAGTGTGTCATCAAGATGTCTAAGTTCCTCTGTGTGTCATCAAGATGTGAGCTATCAGTATCAGTAGACATCTGTTCCTCTAAGTGTGTCATCAAGATGTGAGCTATCAGTATCAGTAGACATCTGTTCCTCTAAGTGTGTCATCAAGATGTGAGCTATCAGTATCAGTAGACATCTGTTCCTCTAAGTGTGTCATCAAGATGTGAGCTATCAGTATCAGTTGACATCTGTTCCTCTAAGTGTGTCATCAAGATGTGAGCTATCAGTATCAGTAGACATCTGTTCCTCTAAGTGTGTCATCAAGATGTGAGCTATCAGTATCAGTAGACATCTGTTCCTCTAAGTGTGTCATCAAGATGTGAGCTTTCAGCATCAGTTGACATCTGTTCCTCTAAGTGTGTCATCAAGATGTGAGCTATCAGTATCAGTAGACATCTGTTCCTCTAAGTGTGTCATCAAGATGTGAGCTTTCAGCATCAGTTGACATCTGTTCCTCTAAGTGTGTCATCAAGATGTGAGCTATCAGTATCAGTAGACATCTGTTCCTCTAAGTGTGTCATCAAGATGTGAGCTATCAGTATCAGTTGACATTTGTTCCTCTAAGTGTGTCATCAAGATGTGAGCTATCAGTATCAGTAGACATCTGTTCCTCTAAGTGTCATCAAGATGTGAGCTTTCAGCATCAGTTGACATCTGTTCCTCTAAGTGTGTCATCAGTATCAGTAGACATCTGTTCCTCTAAGTGTGTCATCAGGAGCTATCAGCATTTGTTCTCTAAGATCATGAGCTATGTTCCTCTAAGTGTGTCATCAAGATGTGAGCTATCAGTATCAGTTGACATCTGTTCCTCTAAGTGTGTCATCAAGATGTGAGCTTTCAGCATCAGACATCTGTTCCTCTAAGTTAGACATCTGTTCCTCTAAGTGTGTCGTCGAGATGTGAGCTTTCAGCATCAGTTGACATCTGTTCCTCTAAGTGTGTCATCAAGATGTGAGCTATCAGTATCAGTAGACATCTGTTCCTCTAAGTGTGTCATCACGATGTCAGCTATCAGTATCAATAGACATCTGTTCCCCTATGTGTGTCATCAAGATGTGAGCTATCAGTATCAGTAGACATCTGTTCCTCTAAGTGTGTCATCAAGATGTGAGCTTTCAGCATCAGTTGACATCTGTTCCTCTAAGTGTGTCATCAAGATGTGAGCTATCAGTATCAGTAGACATCTGTTCCTCTAAGTGTGTCGTCGAGATGTGAGCTATCAGTATAAGAAGATATCAGTTTCTCCAGTATACTTTTCCAGTCTCTTCACAAAGTGTACTCTGTAAAATAAACTAGATCTACTGAGAAAAGAATACAGCGACGTCACTGGTGTTGACATCTAGTGCCGCCACGTCAAATATAATAATATATAGTACAGACAACGTCACATATGTTGCCATCTAGTACATACCACATTACATATTTTGATATATGTTACATACCAGTCATATATGTTGACATCTAGTACATCTTGCGACATATTTACATTTGTGTACATAAAAAATCAGCTTCAGTTTTCACAAGAAGTCCCACCGCGTGGTTATGGTAAGCCCTCTTGGTCATAGGCTAGCTGAAGTTTTGAGGACACACTTAGAGAAACAGATGTCTACTGATGCTGATAGCTGACATCTGCAAGATATCTAGTACATACCACGCCATATATGCTGACATCTAGTACATACCACATCACATAAGTTGACATCTAGTTTATTCTCATAAGCGCCCTGTCACCATCTTCAGCAGCCAGCGCGGAGTTCCAGTACCAGTAGCATTCTGATTATTCATCCGTCTTGCCTTCCCTCTGAGCGTCGAGTATTGGCCAGATCCCCTCGTCCCTCATTCCCCGCTGCTTCGCTCACACCAGACAGGTGATCCTTTGCTCCTCCGACTTGTACACGTTCTCCCACTAGGCCCTAACCACGTCTGCCTTATCAAGCATCAATATTCCACCAAGTTGGCATACCCCAGATAAAGAAACCAGACAACGTGACCTCCGAATCCAAACATGCCACTATGTAGGCCTGTCCTCACATTCCTCAGCATGCTTTCTGAGTCAGTTACAACCATGATATGTGTGTGTGTCTGTGTCTGTGTGTGTATGTGTGTGTGTGTGTGCGTAGTATTATATAATCAGCGGGAAGCTGCAATGACCGCCTCTGTCTCCATTCTTAAGCTAGATGCTGTGGTGTCACCTACTAGGGTTTCCTGCACCAAACAAGGACCTTTAGCGTTTGCTAGCTTTACTGCACTAAACATCGACTATTAGCTTTTGCTAGGAATCATCAAGCACTTCTTTTGCCCCTGGACACCGTTTCTCAAAATAATCACATTCTCTGAGGGAGCATTATCTTGAATTAATTGCAGAATTTCCGCCCCAATGGCACCTGCTGGCCATTCCTTGCACTCCCGGCTCAAAGTGATTATGACTCTGTCTGAGCCATCAATGAATTCCCGCTTATCAGCCGCTGAACCTTAACTGCGTGCAAAGGGTGGTCTGTGTCTGTAGTTATTCTATTGTATGATTTGGTATGCAGCAGTTTAAGCCTAATTGCACCAGTCAGCAAATCAAAAATGTATGGCATACACACTACTGGCTGTCTCTGGTAATCCCAAAAAGACCATCTGACTCATCGAGACAGTAAGTAGTCCTAGTCCATAAAAAATCATTAACAGGATCAGGTGCTGATATAGTGTGAAAAGCATTCTCTGCCCATTGCAGCCAACGTCCTAATAGCACTGAGTCTTTTTTGGCTTCTTGTTACATTCATCTCCAAATAGTCCTTGAACAACAGGCTCCTGTCAAATGTGATTACCAAATACTTTACAATGCTCTCTTTGTTGACGTTTCTACCGTTTGAAATAAGACCTGCGACATCAGCTTTAATAATCCTGGTGTCTAGATAACACCATAAAACAGACGCCTTTTCTGGGTGGATGACGGGCCCACTTCTAGTGGTAATTAGATGCATATAACACCACAAAAGAGACGCCTTTTCTGGATGGACGACAGACTCATTTCTAGTGGTAAGTAGATGCATATAACACCTGAAAACAGACGCCTTTTCTGGGTGGACGACAGACTCATTTCTAGTGGTAATTAGATGCATATGACACCATAAAACAGACGCCTTTGCTGGGTGGACGACAGACTCATTTCTAGTGGTAATTAGATGCATATGACACCACAAAACAGACGCCTTGTCCAGGTGGACGACAGACTCATTTCTAGTGGTAATTAGAAGCATATAACACCACAAAAGAGACGCCTTTTGTGGGAGGACGACAGACTCCTTTTTAGTGGTGATTATTAGATGCACGTAGGATGTGTTTGTTGGGGCAGTGGGTGTGTTCTTATCCTAATGTGAATGGGAGCCCACACAGGAAACCGTAAGTTTGAAATCGTTTATAACTAACCCTCGAAGAATCCTATCAACATGTATGACGATGTCTTCTAGAACTACAACATTAGAACCGCTATTAGTTTGGAGAAAGCCCATGCGCGTCTCAATCCAGCCATAGCAACGCCGCATTAGTCAAAGAATAATAAACACACCAATAGCTGTTTAGAACGTTAGTGGGTGCTGTTCCATTGGTCCACGATAAAGTACTCGGCACTACAAGAAATAAATTAAATCTAGGTCTGCTTTCCTCTCTACAATCTGCGAAAACAATTCAGACATGCCAAGTGTTCAACACCTCGTCAAGAAACAAAATGAACTATCCATTAACGATGTTCTTGCTGGCTGCGATGCTCGGCTGTGTAATCCCGGGCCATAATGCTCAAAGTAGTATTGTGTTTTTATGTGAATCTCAAGATTAAACAACATTAAAAGACTCGGGTTAAGCAGCTGTAGGTAAATCAAAGTAAACAAATCGAGGGAATACATATTACCTGTAACAAAACATGGATTAAGACGTGGACTAATTCGCAGTTACTGATTGATTAGCACCTTTCCCTCTTTCCAGAAAATGATGTTATATTGCCCTATGAGGAGACATGGGACTCACAACCCTTTGCGATGGCGAGTATGACTAGCAAGACCCACCGCGTTAAGAAAACTTGTCCACATTTAGTGCATGGGACCAGTGTTCAGCACCATTTCAATTCGCAGTTATTGAGGAAAAAAATATGAACTGACATGCTATAGAAAGATTTTCCGAATACAATGGACTAAGAGGGAAAAAAAACAATACTAACATTACAAAAGATGGAACATCAAAGTAGATTGGCCAGCACACATCCTGATATCTCGGAAACTTAAATATTTTGGTCACATCAAGCGCCACTCGAAATGAAAAAAAGAGAAAAAACAATTACA